TCAGAGGAGCAGGAAGGCTGCGTTTCGGGCCTAGACCCTTCTTCAGATGCTGCTTGGCCTGCTGTGTTCATCCAGCTCTACACCTTGTTATCTCTATTTATGCAGCAAGCTCAGTATGCCTCAGCTCCATTCTTTAAGTTTTGCTTTGTTGGTCTTTACACTTCAATTAATTCCTAAATCAGACAAGCAATTAATATTCAAATTGTATTCTTGAGAAACAAGCCTGGAGTCCAGATTTACCTGTGATTTTTGCTACAAATTTGTGGTTACGTTTTGGTTCATAGGCCTAACAAGTCACTTCTTGAATTAATCTATTAATATTACATTCTTTCATGTTACTGAATATCAGGAACATAAATGCTCATATGTGCAAATTGCCAGAGCCCCAGCATGTATCAGCTTAAGTTGGAATATCTGGCACCTCATCTTGTGTGTTTAAGAGACAAATATTTTTGGTAGTGAGGCCTTAATTTTAGCAGTTGCAACAATATTCTGTCATGTAGATATATCTAAAGAGAACTTCATGCCAATATCATGACAATAAATTAATTTCTACTCACAAGAAAGTTGACAAGCGGCCTATTTTATCACCTTTGGAGAAGGCCAGCCTTTCAGTTGCCAGTCAGGCATGTAAGTGGCCAGTGGCATGTCTTCTTGATCCCCCATAGGTCCCAACCGTTGGATTAGAAATGGCAGCTTTCCATTGCAGTGAGCACCACTGAGATTAATGGCTGCTATCTGCAATATATATGTATCAGTGGTCCAGGATTGGCAAGGGACCTAAGCCACAGTTAGGTGACAATGAGAAGTGGATTTGCAGGAGGTGGGGAGGCTGTTCATCAGCAAGGGTGGGGGATGAACTTTCAACACCTTCTTCCCCACACTTTCCACTGCTGGGTTCCTCCATGCAAAAGACCATATTCTTTGGAGAAGATCTTTTTCGGGCTAAAATTGATTCAATTTAGAGGAATAGGACTTTGATTGCAAAATTGAGCCCAGCTCTGTCACTCAACTCCTGGCCCAGGTAAACAATTATCATGAAACAATAAAACTTAATTTTTGCTTCTTTCAAGAAATGGAGAATATCAGTCTGATTTTAACCAGAAGACAGGAACAGGGCATGCAAAGTTGTTGGAAGGCAATGATATCTCAGTACGGTGTGATGAATGAGCCTGACATCTTCAGGTGTGAGAAGAAAATAAGAATTAACTCAAAAATAAGTAATAGAAGGAATGTAATCTATTCATGAAATAAGCTCTCTGTCCCTCATTTCCTCCCTTTACCTGTTATCATTCCTGGTCCCTGCACTCAAATTAATTCTGAAAACAAGTAACAGACTAAATTAACAAATTACTCTCTGAGAAACATCACCACCTAGGCCTGGAGTCATGATTCATATCAGGCTTTTGTTATTAAATTGTGATTAAGGTTTGGCAATCCTGTCTGACAAGTTACATCGCATGCAATTTGGGATTACTTCATTAATGTTTCATTCTTTCACAGCATTGACAAAATATTCTGTAAAACAGCATTGCATTGCTTAAAACGATTTACATTTGGCCAGATTTTGGCAACTCAAAATTTGCCAACAGATACCTCAGCAACTGATTTTTTTAACAGGATTTAACGGTGAAGGGAAGTTACATTATTGAAAATATTTTATCACACAGAGCTGGATAGCCATTTTCTACAAAGGAGGCCCATTCCCTGTTAAGAAATGTAGTCACTTCCATTTCTCTGTTCGATCACTATACCCAGCCAATTTATTTTTTTTCAAGTCACCATCCAAATTCCTTTTGAATTCATTAGTTATTTCTGCTTCCAACAGCCTCGCATTCTCCTGAATCTCTCTAGCCCAAATTTTAAACAGCAACAGCTAGTGAGAAGAGTTATTCCATTCCTACCTTACCTAAGCTTGCGATTTCCAACCTAACCTTGTAATTAAAATCCCTCATCCTGAAAACCATTCTGGTAAATTCTCTGTACCCTCTTCCACATCATCCCTGAAGTATAGTGACCAGAACTGTATCCAAGTCTCCAGTTGGAGTCTAACCAGAGCTTTTTGTGTTGAACATCTCAGCTGCTGAACTGACATGAAAGTTAAGCCTCTTATATTGAAAAAGTCTGTTATGAATTGGGAATATTATAAGATACCTTGATTGTAACTGCAATCTCAGTTTGATGATAACTTGCATTGAAGTCATTTTAACATAGTATTTATCAAGATTGATGTTTCTATGATGACATCAACTGAGGCTGCACAGAGGTTTAAGACATGACTACACAAATCAAACCCAATGAGGTGAATGACAAAAATGGTGACCCACCAGCAGTACACAAGTATGAGCTTTGGACACGTGACTGTTCATCAGGCAGAGCATTGAGGAGCATTTTTACCGAAAATTTAAAAACTCCCTGTCACCATTCAACGCAGGTATTAGTGGGGCTTAGATGTCAACATAAAGACAACAAAATCATTGAAGTCCGTAGATGAAGCCCCTCTGGAGTCCAATTTCTCTGACTCTCAATCCAAAGAATCAAGTTATTCTCTGGGTTTGTTTTCGTGACATAAGATAGATAAGATCATTTTATTTTAATTTTAAAATAGTTTTAAATCAATAAGTTATATGACTTAATAAAAAAAGTTCAACCTCCCAGATGTCACTGTCAGTTGATCAAAAGATGCTGGTGTGAAGTGGCCATTTGTGAATACTATGAATTCCAACTGCCTGTAGTGTTTTTATAGTGAATCAGCCTGAAGCTATGAAGCCATTTCTTCTTCAATAATTGTACTGCTCAAACATTAAATAGAACTGGTGGGATTTGGGAAGAATCTCTGAGGTGAAACATTAATTTCAAGTCTCCTTCAGCGTGTCCTTCAAAAGTGGCCTGACTCAAAATTTAAATAGGCAAGTGTTTTAAAACAATCAATAAAATTCCAGGTTGTCATCAATGTATCTGATACTCTTTATGCTCTTTTATTTCTTGTTAACATCTTGACTGATAATCTTTGTTTGTGTAAAACATTGAATTCAAGTATTTTTTCTTAACCGCTGTATTCCTCCGGCTCCCAAATTGTTTTATCTGGTCTCTTGGGTGAAATCAGGGTGTTCACAGCTCTTTTAGATAAAAAAGAACATTTTGATATCTTTGAACTTTTATCCTTAGAATGCTTTTACCAGTTGTGAGGGTTTTTAAAGCTGTCCAAATGCTATAGGTACAGCTGATTTCATTGAGGAAAGTGTCACCACAGCTGCTTTGTTTTCCAAATATAAAACAAATCTGTAAGTAGCAACGACTTTCTTTTTAAAGGATCCATCAGCCAGACCGAAAAAAAAGACAGCTTCCACAGTGAGGCAGGGCTTTCCCTGGTGGAAGAGAAAAAAATTTGTAATTGATATTTAAGCGGCATCTGACTAGAGAAACATCAGGGTCCACCAATGTGCACAATATCCTAGAGGAACAGCTGCCTTATTGGTTTGATGGGAAAAGAAGATATGACTGGAGGATGGTCTCCCTTACTGCCTCCCTTATTCCTGTATCCAAGATGTCATCAAGTAGCAAACAACCAGAAGTTGGCCCGTATTGCTACCAACAACATAGGTAGGAAAGGGATAACAAGGTGTAGAGCTGGATGAACACAGCAGGCCAAGCAGCATCAGAGGAGGAAAGCTGATGTTTCGGGCCTAGACCCTTCTTCAGAAATTCTTCAGAAATAGGCCCGAAACGTCAGCTTTCCTGCTCCTCTGATGCTGCTTGGCCTGCTGTGTTCATCCAGCTCTACACCTTGTTATCTCAGATTCTCCAGCATCTGCAGTTCCTACTATCTCTAGGTAGGAAGGGGGATGCGATAGACTTTACGAAAAGAGAATAAGAAACAGGATCTCAAAGATTATAATCTGTAATTTACTCCACATAGCATGTGGTATAGAAATAGGAGGATAGTACAAATCGATGCATGTTTGGAGAGATGGCTCAGGAGAAAGGGCATTAGATTCCTGGCACTGGGACCAATTACGGGGCAGACAGCACAGATACAGATCGATGA